TCTCCGACTCAGTTAAATATTTACATAGATTTTATTTCCAAAATGTACTTGGCAATTCACTCTTTTCATTGTATTTTAATGATGACTTGCAATACTTATTATGTACATAAATACTCATTTCATCATTAAATTATCTAAATTATCTACATAAGACAGTTGATTATAGATAGTAGTGTAGATATAGGTTAATCATTTTAAAGTCATTTAAGAGTCAGCGAATATAAAGATCATTATATATATAGTTTAAAAACTAATTTACATTTTTTTGTTTATATTTAAGTTGATGATCTATGTGGTGTATGCTGATAATTTATAAAAGTGTTAAGATTTTAAACTATTATAACAAATGTCTAATTCTTTAAATGGAGAACAAAATACCCATAAGACACTTTTAATGGATCGGTGTAAGAAATTTTTTGTTAGAAGGTAAGTTGTATTAAAATTTTTATTATTAATTTTATATAAGTATTATTAGAAATAATATTGTTACATAAAGTAGTTGCTAATAAAATACATATTATTAACTACATGCTTAAAAAATAAAGCTAAAATAATTTAATTATCTAAATATGTATATATATATTAAAATGTTCATAATGCTTTTAAGAATGATTTGTATATTGTGTGTGTCTAAAACATTTAGGTACATTTACATAGATATATTGAATTTTTTTAGGCAAACTGAACTTCCAACTGATAATTTAGAGACTGAACTTGAAAGAAAAGAACGATGGAGGAGTGTTTATGTAATTTATTTTACCATGTTTCTCATGTCACTTGGCTTCAGTATTATACTTACTGGTGTTTGGCCATATTTAGACAAGGTATATAGCATATACAAACAAAATAATATTAAAATAATAAAAATTAAATATAATAATATTCCAGTAAGCTAAATATTAGTAATTATGTTAGCTAAATATTAGTAGTCATGTATAGTGTTGCAAATTGAATAAGCAAAATTAATGAAACTTGATATCTTACTATACATATTTATGTTGTAGCTGGATCCTACAGCAGGAAAAGAATTCATGGGTTACGTAGTTGCAGCTAATCCACTAGGACAAATGTTATTTTCTCCTTTGATAGGTTGGTGGGGCAATAAAAGAGGATCAGTAAGATTACCGCTTTTAGTGACCTTAGCACTATTCACTCTTGCATCAGCAGCTTATAGTATTCTTGAAGTGATGCCTGGTGATAGGAAAGCTTACATGATCACTGCTAGATTTTTTGTTGGTGTTAGTTCTGGTTAGTAAAAGTTTGTTCAACTTTTAGCTTACAATTAGTATAAGATTTATGTATCTAATTGTAAGACTTCTGTGTTTTTACATTACATATATATTATTTACAGCTAACGTTGCAGTAGCAAGATCTTATATATCTGCGGCAACCAAACTTGCAGAACGTACACATGCCGTTTCTATGATATCTCTTGCACAAGTAATTTTTGCCATTACATTTTTATATTAAAATATATAGTGCAAACGAAAAAATGTTATATTTCTTCATATTGTAACTTTTAGTAATTGCAATAATTTAATATATATAATCTTGTTAAAATTAGCTTTTACAAAAAAGATAATTGTATAATTTATACAAATTTTTTTAAAATTCCAAACAGGATATTATATTTTGCAGGTGCTGGGTTTTGTAGTGGGTCCTGGATTACAAGCTGCCGTAACACCTTTAGGAGACAACGGTGTAACATTTATGACCTACCTACCTTTAAATATGTATACGGCAGCTGGGTGGATTAATGTAATAATGGGAATTATCAATTTTATTTTGTTGTGTCCATGGAACTTCAAAGAACACAAAATTGCGATAAAAGAAGCTATGCATAATGAGGGTAAAGCTACAGGTAATATAAACTATATTATTTTTATTATTATGCTAATATACTGATATTAATTTATAAGTTTTATCATAATTTTGATTTAAAGACTAATCATAAGCTTTATTCTATTTGGGTGTAATATTAAATATTATTGAACTTGCAGAAAAAGAAACTTGGAAGTCCATAAAACCTGATCATTTGGCAGCATGGACCTTAATTTGCGCATTTTTTGTTTTAGTCTTTAATTTTGTTCTTCTTGAAACGTAAGTATATTTATTCTCTGATATAAAATTTATCAAAAAAAATCCAGAAAATAAGCATGAATGGACAAAGAAGATATTTAGAAAATTATAATAAATTCTTATTTATAAAGGCACTTAAGAACTTGATTTTAAAAAGTACATGCTGCAATAATGAAATTGAAGTCATAAATTAAAATCTTGATTATTCAAATTTTCATTAACAGATATGTTTTTTGTGCAGGCTTGGCACTTCACTCACTATGGATCAATTCGCTTGGTCTAAAAAAGAAGCTTTATATTATATGGGAATCATTATGAGCGTTGGAGCTGGAATAGCTTGCATTACATTTGTTATGATTGAGCCACTTTGTAAGAGGTAACTATTATCGATAAAATCTGTAATTATAAATAGATTATATCCAATTCTATCAAATACTATCAAATAATATAATTGTAATCGTTTCTTAAAGATTTCAGGAACGTAAAGTGATGTTATGGGGTGGATTCTTCTTCATGTTGATTGGACGAATATTATGTATTCCTATTCCAGGCATGGATCCTCCTCTAATTGCAGATCTTGGACGTGAGTATCTATAAGCTATATTTTTCTGATAAATAATTTTTTAATTTATGCTTATTTGTGCATATCACACAGTAAGTACTTATATAATTTATAGTGTTATGATAAAAGTGATTTCTTCAATCTTTTGTAGCATATAATAATATTACGAAAGACATCAATGGTACAGATATCTTAGGATGCCCAACCGCTCAAACATGGTGTTTGGATACTCCACAGATTACGATTACTCAATTTTTTATCGGTTATGGCTTCACATCCATAGGTTATCCCTTAGGTGTTACTTTGATACAAACTATATTCAGTAAAATTCTCGGTCCACGTCCACAAGGTGTATGGATGGGTTTAATGACAGGTGCGGGTTGTGGCTCTCGCGTTTTGGGACCAGTTTTTGTGGGCCTTATTTATACTCGTTGGGGAACATATCATACTTTTATTATTACCGGAATAATGATATTAATTTCCATGATATGGTTATTATTTGTGAATAAACGTTTGATTCCGCCTGAGATAAAGAAAAGTATTGAAGCACCGGATAGACAAGAAAAGGACGAAATCCCATTAGTTCATTTGAGTTCTGATAATGGTCAAACATCGCACGAAGCTCAAAAGTTTAATGGTACATAAGAAAAACGAGATCTCTTTGCAAATGTAAGGTACAACTGCCATAACAAATCATATATGAACATCATAAAATGTTATTATGGCAAATCGATCTATTTTTTATGGATATACACATTAGATTTTTCTTAAATATGCAGATATTTTATATAATGTTATATACTTTGTTAAATATTAAGATAAGAAATAAATTTCTTACTTAGAATTATTATAAACGTAATTAAGATAAGAGAGATTTGTAATTTAGCAATGGTACAATTTGTTTAAATCTTAATATAATTTTTTATCAATTTTTAATTGAGGGACGTCATATTGATATTATTATTGTTAAATATTATTGAATTGAGTTGTGTGAAGATACTAAAAGCTTGCCATAGACAATGTCAATGCGATATTCATATGCCAATTATTCTTCCAATATTCATATTCTTATAAGTATAAGTACTTATAAGTACATATTTTCCGAAAGACAAGAAATTGCAACTAAAGCATTTGCAGTATTTTTTTTATTACTATATTAGCATATTTTATTGTACATATAAAGAGTAAAAAAAATTCTAGCACAAATTGCTATTCTTATGTGCACTTGGAATACTACTTCTAAATTCCTTTTTCGATAAATAAGAACAAAATACTTTAAATTATATAAAGTAAATTTATATGATAATGGATATATATATTCTAAGAGCACTTTTATTTTTTATAAACTTTAAAATAATGATTAGCTTACTACCACAATTTTATATAAACGATTTCGATAATATAACAAATTCTATTTATAAAATAGTACATGTAAAGCTCTACGCACAATAGAGAAAATATTAGGAATAAGAATAAATATTAAATATATTTATTCTTATTCCTAATATTTTCTCTATTGTGCATAGGGCCTAAGAGCGCCATTGTATTATAAATTAAAGGTAATATTGTGTACACAAATTTATTAGAGAGGCCATAACAAATACTTACTTGATGTGAAGTTTTTATTGAAATTTTGTTGCTTGTGATTGAATTAATTTATTTTTGGAAATCTTTTTCATGATATTATTAGTGCAATAACTACTTTTTGCTCAAAATACTTTTAGATATTGGATTGTTGCAACATATGTCATATAATATATACTGCATAGTTTGTTAATTTATACAAATACAACATAAATGCAACGTAAATCAATGCAAGAATGTAAGCATGTGCAGTTTGCTTTTCATGTAACTTGAAGAACAGACTGAATAGAAAAATTGTGTAGAATTTAGTCTTATATTAATAAAAAAATGAACAGGTGCATAAATATTATTATTAATGCATTAATTTTTCTAATAAATATCTTTAAAAAAATAATAATATGAAGGATTATGACAAAAATAATTCAACATTAGTATCATAACTAAAAATATGTTTTGAATTGTTGCGAGTATGTATATAGAAAAATCATAATAAAAATAATGACAATATATATTACAAAAAGAAATGCGAACTATATTATTCAAAGTGCAATTAAATTGTAATTGTATAAAAAACAGTGATTCATATTTAAGAAATACAATGTTTTAAAATACTATATACATATATTTTTTTAGTATTTATATGAACAAAATGATTTAAATATACTTAATATTTAATCAACGAGCGTTAATATGTTACTCTACTTTGACCTATGGCGTTCAAAAATTAAACATAAAAAGAGAACTACACATGACATCAGTAACAGATAGCATATAAAATGTATTTCTACGCGTTCCGTCGTTTAAGTATTAATGATATAAATCAAAAGATGTACTTATAATTACAAAAAAAATATATATTTATATCTATAATACATTTTACAAATTAATGGAAATAAAATAATGACAAATATGAAATGATAATAAATAATTTGAATCATTCTTGTTTGTTTATAAATATCTAATTCTCATTATTTATTTATTTTCTTAAATAAAAATTTCATAATGCATACCGATATAAAATTGTTATATTTATAAATCACGAGTAAATTGTGAAATATTAAAATTTTTTTATTTTTTTATAGCAGTAGTAAAAATGATTTGACTAATTATTTCTTGCACTTCTTTTGCATATACTCTTAATAATATAATAATAAGAATAAAAGCTATAAACCTAGAAAATGCTATCAAAAAATTGACATATTATGTAAACATACAAATTCTTATAGATGCTGTGCTATCACTTATAAATGCTAATGATATAATAAGAGTGCATAGTGTTGCTATGGATTACAAAAATGATTAATACATATACCTTTTTAAGACCAATTATAGAAATGCGGATTATATATATATATATATTCGTATATAAATAATTCTAATTACAATTAATCTTTCTTCTTTGGTTTCTTAGGATTGCGCGAACGCGATTTTGCTTTGCAAAGTGGACAAATTGGTGCATTTCTGTGAATTTGTTGATGGCATGAAAGGCAAGACTTCATAGGCGGTGGTTGTTGCCTGTGAGACGATAGATATAACATTTTTAACTATAGCAACAATAACAACAGAAATAATGCTTCTAATCTTATGTAAAAAATATAATAAGGGGTTGAGATATACCAGTGGTACCTGAATGTTGGAGCTGGAGGCCCCGGGGCTGGTGGTAATGGTCTAGGTTCTGGTTTGCTTGGTCCTTGAAGTGGTTGCGGTGCTAGGAAAGGCGTAGAACCACCTGGATGTCCAGGATGATGCAGTCCAAGAGGTGGTAACAAGTCATCACCCCGTACGTCTACTCTCCATTCCTTTTGCATCGGTCGTTCAAAGTAGCTATGAACAAACCGTCTACACAATAAAAGTTTAACTCAGGCCATAATTTTACTTTTCATTTTTTAACTGGTAATAGATACATTTTACTGCTGTAGTACTTTTACAGTTAAACTTTGATAATTTTGTAATAATCAATGTACTTACTCAGGTGAAATAAGATCTGATTCAGTCTCATATAACTCCGGTAACCTTTCCAAACCCAAAAATTCTCTGCGCATACGATCAATATCATGCTTCAATGGTTGATAATCGTTATTATGAATTAGTTTTGCAGTTTCCCTTGCTCTGTTACGCGCTTCCTCCGCTTGCTTGATCACCGATTCCATCTAACAAAATGTAAGCTTTTATTATTAACAATTTTATGTAATTCCAACATATCTCACATAATTTTATCTTATTTTATTTCCAAAAAAATAATGAGCAATCTAAATTTACTGCATTAATGTCCGCATGTATCTGACGCAGCTCTTCTACGTGTGCCATTTTTTCCTGCATCAGTAAATCCATTTCCTGTTTATATTCTAATAAACATTTCTCCTCCTGTTCAGTCTGCTCCACTTCTTGTATTATTCTTTGCTTCAGTTTTTCCAGTTGAACAGTTTTCGATCTGGCACAAAGGAAATTATAAGTAATACAATATCCGATCCAAAATAACATTTTATACAAAACATGCAAAACATTATATCATATACCTTATGTCTTTCAAAGCTTCCAGCTTGGCGAAGATTACTGCCGTCTCGGACGCTGACATTTCGGAACTTAATATTCTCGTTATGAGCTTTATGAAATTTCAGAAATAACTCTTAACTTATTGCACTATTGCATACTCGGAGCAATTAGTATGATTGGAAGAATCGTACATATAACAAAGTTAATAGTTAAACCGGCTATAGCGTTTTGGCAAAACTATTTGACAGAGATATCAAACAGTATTGTAAGAACACAGCGAACGAGTTCATTAATCGTTTTTTCATCTACCCGCGTGAGATAGTAAACTTCGAATCTCGTCAGAGATGAACGCTGTACGCCATCTGGGATGCTGGGAGTTGCAATCATAACACGCGCTCCGATTCAATCTCTCAGATCTTTTTCACTTCGCACATAATGTTATCTCAGTTGAAGAATCAATGACATTTAATATGAAACATGAATATACCATTGATCCCTATTTAACCTTAGAGTAGGCGCATAAATGATGTATGTATGTCACTCACAATCAGTATTCTTTTTTAATATCTAGCTCCGACGAAGAAATCTATGACGAACAATTTCTGACGAACCAACATCGTGGTTCAACGAACGATTTATTAAGAAAGATAGACAAGTAGTCAAATGTTAATAATATTGGCAGATTGATAGCAAATGTGCTCAAATCTGTTATTTTACTTGCTGAGTGTGTGAAGAATAATATAATCGCAACAATTCGATCTTGATATAAATATTACATCTAAAAAACCAGGTCAAATTTAAATAATTACGCTCTAAAAGACTCTAAAAGACTAAAACATGTAGAATAATTTTAATTTTATTATGTTCATAAAAAATGTAATAATTAATAATTAGAATATGTGTAAAATATTTATATATTAATTTTAATATATAGAAAATTGTAAGCACAAAGCATTAAGTGTTGCATATTTACTCGATAAATGACTAAGAAATATAGAATTTAAATATTTATAAATTTATATTCAACACGTGATTAATTTTTTTATTTACATATATTCTGTTGTTACGCAAGTTTGTCTGAATACACCTTTATTCTCCTTTCCTTTTCCATCCTGGTTGATTCCACTCTTTAGTAATCGTATAGTTTATGCACAAGAGGCCGCACTGGGCGACGCGTGCGCATAACAGTTACGGATTGCGCATGCATGGTTTATCGGCTTTGGAGGGGCGTAGAAAGGAGGCCATATTGTACGGAGTTAAATTGAAAGAACGAAAATAATTGTATCGCCGTTGAGATCGTTCGCTCTCTCGCGGTGTCCGCGCTCCGCCTTTGGTTTCCCCTATTTTTATCCCGTATCGTTTACGCGACGGCATCGCCTCGTAATCCGCGTGCCGCGGCCAGCCGAGAGCAGCGCGAAGCTAATCGGCCGCCTCCTGTCTTTGTATATAAGCTGTACATCGCGCAGTAGTACAACTCGACCCTAAGGGCATCCGACGTCGTCTCGCTAAAAGGTGTTTGGTTGCTTGCTGTAGTCGAGATGGGCACTCGGGACGACGAGTATGACTATTTATTCAAAGGTAAAAATCGCAACTCCTCGCTCGGCCGTAATCGTCGTGTATTCGGGAATGCTGCCTGCCGCACGATTCTCGCCCCGTGACCTACGGGAATCGCTGTCCATTTCCGATGCGTCGTACATATGTTGTACGTCACGCCGAACGTCACTTTTGTGCGGGTATAAACGACGAAACAGTCCGTCGCGATTTAATACGCGCGCGATGACATCAGAGACGATGATCCATCGTTGTCGCGCGGACGGGCTACGCTCCCGTGGGCGTCCTCCAGCGGTGCTCCGCACCACTGCATAACGTCGACGGGACGAGCTCCTCGTCGACGGCTTGCCGCATTCACCGATTCCGGTCTCTTATATCTTCCTGACTCAGCTCTCTTCCCGTCGGGAGATACGCCCGCGATTTTTGCATTACGCATGTAAAATCGGGCGAGCGCGCGCGATATACACATATCGAATATACACGATGCATGATTGCGTGTCCGTGGTGTTACTAGCCGCTGTCTCGATCATTGTATATACGTGTGTGTAGCGTGCGTGCATTCGTGTGCGTGCTTACGTTACGGATACGTACGAAATTTCTTTTGACCTTGTCATTCCATATCATTTGCATTTTCCGTAAAGAGAGAAGAGCACGAAGATTACTGCATACGTTATCGTGTCAGCTGTTGTATTTATTTTTCGACTCGTCATTTTCCACAGCAATTAACATCAATGAATTGAGCGCTCGTGGGTTTGAAATAGACTTTTATTCGGCTATTTAACGTTGATCGATGGGATACTTCTATTAGCGTTCGTGGATCTTGACCCTTGACTCCATAAAGATATAATATACTGACGTCGTGATCTGAATGTACATTGTTATTACTATGCGTACATAAGTTTAGTAAGTTTATGTTTTTCTTTGTTTGAGCATTCTTGAAATATTTAGGGTGTTATTTGAATACAAATTATAGCTGATTTTATACAGTTAATTTTGCAATTAAAAATAAGGTAGGACAAAATTCTATTTGTTTTTTGGAATTGAAATAAATACTATTCTTATTTTCTTAAAACAAAGCGATTACTTATAAATACTATTATTATTTTCTCAAAACAAAGCGAACACTTATAAACTTGTTTAAACTTTAATAATTTATCTCAATGCATTTGTTAATTCCATATGTTTGTGATATATTTATTATACATAGATTACATAAGTATATCATATTTATATTTCTTGCACTTTGTTGATGGCAGATGTGGAGTGAGAGGAATAATCATGTCTTTGCTTGCTATACTTCCCAGATGTACAAATAGAATATCTACAGGAAGAACACACACAAACATATAAATTACTTTATGATGTGGCAGTGATTCATTGATTCATGACAGAATTTTTCCAGTTTTATAGATAAAGAGCTTTATGCACAAGTATTTATCAAATCCTTGCATTTAGAGATATTCAATTTTTGTCATTTACTATGCATTAGTTGATGCATCGATTTCAATAATAAAATTTTGTAAAACTTTTTGATTATTTCATTTAAAACAATTAGTATAACATCATAATATTTAATTATCTTTGGACACTTATGATAATAGCATGATAATAGCTTGTCTCTATCATGACACAAAAATAATCAAATATCTTGATATGTACCTAGTATGCAAAAGAAAGAAATATTCAATGTCTGTCACAAAATTTTTTCTCAAACATTGACTAATCAATTCAAAGATTTAATAATTGCTCAGCATTTTACTAACCAATTTTCTTCGTTTTTTTTCAGTTGTTCTTATTGGAGATTCTGGAGTAGGGAAAAGTAATCTTCTATCTCGATTTACGAGAAATGAATTCAACTTGGAATCAAAATCTACTATCGGAGTGGAGTTTGCAACGCGCAGTATACAAGTAGATGGCAAAACCATTAAAGCCCAAATTTGGGATACAGCCGGACAAGAGCGTTATCGCGCGATTACCTCAGCGTAAGTATAAATTTTTATATTACATTACATACATATATTTGTTAAGAAAGAATGTTAACAAAATAATGAATTATTTGCAACAAAATGTAGGATGTAGACAACTGTGCAAGAGTCTCAATTTTTAACATTTTGCTACAAAAATATTGAAACAAAAAACTAACAGATTTTTTTATAGTAAATAACATTAATTATAGCATTTAAATCTTTTTATCTTAATTTTAAATATATATAATTTTATAATTTTATAATTTTATAATTTTAAATATTTTTTTCAGTTAGTCTCAGAATTAACATTCTATAATTTGCAATTAAAATATTGCAATTTTAGTTAGAACTTAGTTAGAACTTATCAGAAAACTAAAGATTTGTGACATTTATACTGCTGAGATTTATTTAATTTGTTAAAATTATTTTTATTTAATATCAAATGATTCTAATAAAGTAAAAAGCTAATTATATCTATAGAAGTATGGAAAGATAATAAAATCAAAAAATATTTTATGTAAAATTGGTTTGACGTTTGTTATAGATGTTGTACGTAGCATGCATATTAATGATGTTTCTTGAATTATTAGATATTATCGCGGAGCAGTTGGTGCACTACTTGTGTACGATATTGCGAAACACTTGACATATGAAAACGTAGAAAGATGGTTACGAGAATTACGGGACCATGCCGATCAGAATATTGTGATCATGTTAGTGGGAAATAAGTCAGACTTAAGGCATCTGCGTGCTGTTCCAACTGATGAGGCTAAGGCGTTTGCTGAAAGGAATGGCTTATCTTTCATTGAAACATCCGCTTTAGATTCTACTAACGTTGAGACAGCGTTTCAAAACATATTAACAGGTAATAGATCGTTTTCATTCATGATATTGTCATGATATTGTCATATTAAAACTAGCGTATACTGAATTAATTGTAGAACATTGTACATTATGTTAGAACTATAATTTGGCTAACATGCTGGCGTCTATTTTTGCAAAGACCATTATACTTTCATATAGTTATCAATGCTATGTGTTACACATATTACCTTTTTTAATGTTCTAGGATGTAGAATTTGTTTTATTGTTACATAGATATATCTAGTAAATTACCAAAATTCTAGAAGCTACTAACAAATTTTTAATATACGTACATGTTATTTTGATTTATATTTTCACAACAGTTTTTATGTATTAACTAATTATATATATTTATATAATTATATAAATTTATGTTTTTCTTTATTTCTGAATAGTACCGACTGCAATAATGCAATAGATTTAAATATATAATATGTTTCTTATATGATATTTATATTAACTAACTTTATATTAAAATAATCTTTCATATAAAAATCTTTTTTTTTAAATAATTAGTATATATTTTATTTTTTTAATTATTGAAAGATTTTATTTGTTATTAGAGTTAAAAATATTTATTATTTACTAAGTTAAATCGTGCAAATATATTTTGCAATTTTATTTAATTGTTTGTCACTCATTGAATTTGTTATGTTTACAGAAATATACAGAATCGTATCGCAAAAACAGATACGAGATCCACCTGAAGGTGATACAATCCGGCCACAGAACGTAGAACAAATTGAAGTCAAACCAACGATGAATGCTGAGGGAATGCGTAAGCAGTGCTGCCAGTGACTCACCTTGTTGCTTAAAATGTGTGTACACGCAAATACAGTATAAATATCACGGAAGTACAGTTGGATAATATCTAATTTTTAACGAAAAAAAATATTTCGTTTATGGTGCAGTAAACAGTTTTTGGGATGATTATCTGTACAATAGAGTAGATTTAATATAAGAAGATTGTGGTTAGTTCATAAATGTTAACTTGATTGTAAATTAAGTTAATTTTAACATATATCAAAATTAAATATTACTAAAGACACTTCCATCACGGTTTTTTTATTCCAGTAATTTGTGCTTTATATATTTTGTGCTCAACTCTGAAGATCATATCGATAATTGAATCTTTAATTTTTCTATATATCATAACTACGAAGATTTATATATATTTAATTTTCTAGTAAGAATATAAATTATATAAAATATTTAAAATTGTTTGTTGCAGAGGATATTATGCAATTTATACTGGATATTTATAAAATCACTGGACTTCTTTTCAATCATATATCTCTTGACCAATTTGGAATTGATATTTTTTCAGTAAATATGTTAAAGCATTGATGAATTCTAAATAATTAATAATAAAAATATTTTTTTGCATGCTAAGTTTCAAGAAACTAAGTAACCACACTATATTATTCAACTAATATTAATTTGACAAAATCTTAATATCAGATATATAGTTCTCAAATTACATAATGCTGAAACTTAGAATGCCATAATAATTCGTAATTTTTTTTTTGTTAAAAAAAATTGATTTTAAATTGGTTAAAGAATTTATGATTAAAATAACATCCAATGGTTTTTAGATATTCTATATAGTTAGATCAAATGCTGTGTAGCAAGATCTTTAAATGAGGCAGTAAAAATAAAAGCGATATTTGTAGTCGATAATAAATATGTATCACTGAATGTGTTGCAAATCATTTATAATAAAGAATATAGTTTACTTTTATGCTTTAATTAAATACTTTAAAATATCTAAATCAACATCAAAACATGATACATTAATCAGACTGGTCGTATTTTTTATATACATAATAACATTCCATTAATAGTATCATGTTATATTCGATATATAAATAAATGTATATAAGATTCTTTTTTGCTTTAACAATTTCAGAAAACTCTTAATTTTTGATACAAAGTGATTTTAATTTCTTTTTTAAATAATTTATTCTATAATTATAAAGTAGAGAAAAAATTTCAATAAAAATCAACATTCAGTATTAATTATATAAAATGATTCATGCGAGATGTGCTATAATCTTTAGGTGATTTCTGACGTCATTGTGAAGAAAGTTTACATGAGCGTGGGTGTAATTCTGAGTAATTGTGAAGTTATGTAATGTTCATACATTCTTCTCAAGAAACATATCACTATGAATAGTGCAAAAGTATTATTAGTTACATTTACGTATCTTTATAAGCATTCTTGCTTCTGTTCTTTTGTATTTTGTCTTTTTTTTTTTATGCAAAGCATGGGGATATACTTCTATCTTAGATATAGAAAATGCAAGAGAAAAACATAGACTTATTTATGATTTTTATTTTATATTGTTCGCAATTGATTTCTCTTTAAGACTTAAGCAGCCATATATTCGTAATCTTTCAAAATCATTAATCCATGCTTATGTGAATTTTTCCACTCAAGATTTTTTCAGAAATCAAATTCTGAAGTTATGTCACGTTTGTGTGAAACGCTGGATAATAGGCTCAACTATCTTTTCTTGTACAGATATTTTTTAAACCGCAACTTTTTGAAAGTTTATAATCCCATTGATATACTATACACACAACATTTGTTTAATTGGATCAATTATTTGTACTTGAATAGAGAGTACATTAACACATCTACACATTAAAATATATATTCGAAGAGAGAGAGAGAGAGAGAGAGAGAGAGAGAGAGAGAGAGAGAGAGAGCAACACAAAGAAAAAAAAAAGGTATGTTAATGATGTGTTAGAGTCAATATAGTAATGCAAAAAGTTTCATATATATTATCTCTCTCAAGACATTGCTGAATTGCTATATACACTTGACGCCAGATGCAACTGCGTCTTTTGATGCATCAGAATTCGTATATATATCGCAATTTTATTTATGTCTTTAAAATCAGATGTACAATAAGTAAAAATGTAAAAAAAAAACAATTGATAATTATTGTTTACAGAGTACAACTTTAAATATTTATTATTTAAGTGCTGCGCCAATTCCACAAAGAGTTTATTTAATTTTATTTTACAGAAGCAGTCATATGGGGGAGGAAAAAGCGGAAGTACTAACTGGAGATAGCTATAACAGGTGCATAACAGAACGAGAGTTAAGACTATATGCGCAAGCATGTAATGTCGTATGCTAGAGAAGAGTTTTATCCTATCAGTGCAGGACATCCATCAATCCACATATGAATATGCATTACATGTTCATGGAATTAATCAAGTAAGGATAAGCGTCAAAAAAATTAAACGACGCTGTAAACGCGAATGCGCGCGAACCATTCTGTCCGCGAAAAAAAAAGATCATCTTTACTCTCTCTGTCTGTCTCTCTATCTGTCACGATATAAATTATGTTATAATAAATAAATGTTGTATTACTGCTTCTTTGTAATACATATATATATATATAAGCGATTCTTCTTAACGCATAGCGTGATCGTGAGTATGTGAACAGTTTATGGTCGTATATGCAATGAAGTATCATGAATAAGTACTATCATGCACTACATAGAAAACAAATACGATATAGATAATGGGCTTACACGGTGATTGATAAAATGGCGGTGAAAAAAAAAAACAGCTAAACTAAGATAGTCCTTTCTCGTTGCTCACTCTCGGCTCTTCATAAATAATAGTACTAGTCTGTATAAGCTTGGGCACTACAATGCTTCGGGATTACTTTATTTTTTCACTGAGCTTTCCACCAAACTTCTTACCGAATGAAAACTGTATAAGAATTATTACAAAGGAAGCTGTATAGTAGGCATTTTTCAAAATCTCTAAAAATAATGTTGCTTTCTGTGTGGCTGTACTGCAATACGTTATTGTCTCTCATGAGCTTTTATTGTATCCTAAATAAAATAGAGAGTGAGTAAAGTATTAATAAATGGAAGTGTCTACTTGATGGATTACATGAAGGATCAGCGATTTTCAAATCTACCACTTATATAATCTTTAGAAAAAATTATGGAAAAAAAAGGCAAGGTTAATAAAAGGTAATCATAGTGCATTGTGCGTGCGTTTAACCTGATTTTTAGTACGTATAATTTATATTATATTATCGCGAATTATATATATCCGTTGTAAGAAATGAGAAATGATGCGTTGTTTCTCGAAGCAATCTTAAAGATGATAAGATAATTACAAGTATAATTACCATTTGATATAGTGGGCTTATTACTTTATTATGGACAACTCAGAACTGTAATATGTATAAGCAATGTCAAAGTGACCATAGTTTTCTACAGATATCTTTTATTAATTCTGTATCCTTAGGCTTACAAATTACAGAACTTAGGGAAAGCAAATTTCAATTTCCTTTATTCTAAGTAAAATAAATTTATATAGTTGAGTAATGATTTAAAGTATTATAAGATTACTTCAATCACCAGTTGATTTGACATACAAAAGGGATATTATATATACAACAACATAGATTATTATTAATAATGTCTTGTATTTCGTTATTTTATTAATAAAATACCAAATTTGCTTTTAAGATGAATGTTTGTGACGAGTGTATCAGCAAATGCTTACAAGTGATAATAGCTCCCATTTTTACGTTGTAGCAACATATTTATATAATAGAATTGCTGCGTCTCGCGAAATATAAAGTATTATCATGCTAATAATTCAATATATATTTTATAAAGCTGCTATTTATAATATTAAATAACAGGAAAATGATGAAATATGAAACTTATGGAATATAATTTGCTACCAGATGTAAGAAACAATCTGTAATTGAAATGAACAAATTTTTATTATGATAATATACATTATTTTCTACGATATATAATTTTCTTTGATAACATTAAATTAAATTACTTATAATTACGGCGTACAGAATGTTTCCAAAAAATTATGAAAAGTGATATAAAGATTATTTCTATATATAACATACACAACAAACGTATATAACGTATGAATATAAGCGAATATTATAAATAGGAAAGGCTATGATGATGTGGGTAAAGATGCTGACTCCAGGCGAATAGTGTTTCTCTGTAAATTACTACGAGTTTTTTGTCGCGACTCAAGCCATCGTAATAATTCTGGACTTTGAGAAGTGTCATTAATGTCAGTTCGAGCTTCTAACTGTTGATAATATGCTTCTCGAAGCAGTCGAAATGTCTGCACATTTTTATATGGTAATTGTGTCATTGGATCCAAATATTTAGCAGGCAATCTGTCAATTGACAAGAGTAATCCTTTTATTTACAATATTAATCTTATTTTTTATTCATCTAAACAATAAAATGTAAAATGGCGATAATCCTTTAATACAAAAATATTTTTTACCGTGTAATAGCACACAGAGGTTTCAACGGTGGCCTTTGTTGTGTTGATTTTTTAAATACATCTAGGAACGATTGCTCGTTTTCAAAAGTAATAAATGTGCGTTCATAAAATGTTCCAGTTTCTTCAGCATGAACATCTTTCTTTTTAGTAGTAGTAGATAAAGCAGTGTCTACTGATAATACATCTTTATCTATGTACACGTCTTTATCATTTTTTTCATCTGCTTTTGGTTCTGTTACTCTAAAGGTTAGACAATAGTGGTGGATTTTAAATAAAATAATGTTAAACATTTAATATATATTTAAATTAAAAAAGAAAAGAAATTATACCTTCCTTCCTTTGGAGAGTCATCAGAATCTTTGTTGTCAGAAATTGGATTTGTTTGTTCTTCATCATTACATTCGACGTTTATTTTATCATTTTTTTCATTTACATCTGTTTCAGATAATACCATGACTGGCATTGATAATGATTGATATCTAATCATTGGCCCAACATACGTTTTTCTTACAGTCCTGGTTGTCTTTTTTTCATTTTCTAATTTCTGATATTTTTCTACAATAAACAGAGAATTAGTTACTTCTTTAAAAAATATTTATTCTATTGTTAATTATATTGATTTTATTTTTTATATTTAATTCCCGTTTTCAAATTTTATTCAGGAATGACATACCTAATGATTTCATATTAATTTCTTCTGTTTGCAAGGCTTCTTTTAGTAATTCTTCTTGCGTCGGTTTCCATGTATCATGTCTTATAACTTTTGTCTTTCGTCTTTGATCCTCATTTCTTTCACGCAAACGTTTTTGAGTCGCTGCTGATTTTGCAGCAGTAGATCGACGTATTGACTTTCTTTCTATATAAAATATCACACAATGTTGAATCTAACATTGATTGATTGAAATATTGGTGCAAAAGTATATTACCTATGCTATCCATAAAAGTTTTATCCTGTTTTGCTTGCCTAATTCTCCTTTCCCTAGTTGATGATTGAGCATGTGATGTGGCAGGCTTAGGCTCTTTATAAGCTTTTGTTACTAATCTGCGCTTCTTTTTTGGTCCTTCTTGTTCCGTATCAGAAACCGGCTCATCATTTTCATCAATACTAAAATCTGAATCTACTTCATCTTCTGCTTCATCTTCTTCCCTGAAATATGAATGTTTACTTGATTAATCATGAATTTTTGTTGCATAGATTTCATATACATATGTAGTATACAAACATATAATCATGATCCTGTTCCACTTCTTCGAAACCACCATATGTAGTTTTATAAAAATCATCTTCTTCCTCTTCATTTAATAATTTTGCCATTTTATTGCCAGCATTTGTACGTCTTTCTCTCATTGCAGCCATTGTTAGGAAACTTTTTGATTTACAATTCTCAATAGAATGTTATTTAGATTTGTGTATTAGATTTGGAAAGATTTAAGGAGGATTACTTTATACGAAAAATATTATATAATATTTTATGATTGATAAAATATTTGTTTTTATGTCAAATTCAAGTTTAGATTGAGGTTAAAATATTATAAAATTTTTTGTATTATTTTCACTTTGTAAATATAAATTATACATTTATACACACAAAACAAATATTGCACTATTTCATGTTAGAAAAAGTTTATTAAGTAAAATAATTATACTTCATAGATTTCATTAACATTGTGCTGCCTGTTACTCGCAACTGTGTGTGTGTGTGTATTTGCGTGTGTGTTGGTGTGTGTAACTGTCTGCTTGTAACCTTTCATAAAACTATGTAGATATATATCATGTGTGGTCAGATCAGTGACGCCAGACTTGAGACCCAAGAAGCATCAAGAAGCAAGCAGCACGAGGGAGATCAAATAGTAGTGCAGTCGGTACACTTATCATCAATGCACGTAATTACGTTACGTATGCTATAGATTGGAGCGTATTGGAGCGAATAGGAGCATGTTGAGGCATGCGACACGAACAAATCTGGCCACTCTTATCATGTCAGCTGTTTTTGTGCATGCATTGAGCTCTATAACATACTGGAGACTTCAGTATGTTATAGAGCTTGATAGTGCATGTATGCAAAAACGTAAGTGAAAAAATAATTTAAAATTTATTAAAATTTATCGCAGAAAATAAGTTATTATTAATATTATTTAATATTTAAACTCGTAGAAAATTAAAAAATTGGATAATTAAGAATAAATGACAAGCCAAATTTTCTTTTGGCTTTCTCTTTTACTCAAACTAAATGTTTGTTGGTATCGTTCAAGATTCATACGTGAAAGATTTGGGGTGACTACTTCCAACTCTAACCAACGATTTAAATTTGTCGACAAAATCCCTAATATGAAGAATGAAAATATCGTTATCAAAGAAGAAAAAAGTTAAAAAATTTTTACGATATTCGTTCATGTTGGCAATTTTGTTAACAATATTGAACCATCGGTTAAAGTTAACTGATGTTGGAAATAGTCACCTTGTCCGGAGTTCGGACACTGACAATCAGCTGTAAACAGTAGATAAGATAAACGCTAAACATCTGCATTACATAACTGCATTATATATAATACATGTTGTAATTTCTCATAATTGCAATAAAATTATTCAAATTAATACCTTTAATACTATTTATTGAAACTATATATATATAAATAACAAAAAATAATTGTGCAATATAAAGTGCAATACTTGTGAATGTTTTATGATGTGAAATATATCTGTCTAACTACATATATTTGTATATAATTATTCTATTCCAACACCTACATTTAAGTTAATTAATTGTTTTGCTATTGCAATAATATCTAAGATCTGCAATAATTCATTTTATGTAAAACACAATTACAAATAAATTCAACAATATAAGATTTTATATATATGTTTTTCAGCATTTATCTTTCATATTATCTGTTCTAATTATAAATTTTGTTTGCAGCTATAGTGGAGTGTTATCACAAGTTATCACACTTGTAGAAGATCAGGTTTCAAGCAATTATTTGATCCAGAAACGAACGTTTCAACGAAGTAGGTGTTTCAATCATGTCCAAATTAAGCGTTGAACAGATTTTAGAAGAACATTTACCAAAAGAGGAATTGGCTCAAGTAAAACGCGTTTTATATGGACGTACATTAAAGTAAGAAAATATACATCATAAACAACTTCTTTATTATTTTTGTCAAAAGAATTTAAACTTTATAAACAGATAAGTATGCATAATACTTGTACTATTTATTGTAACTTTTTTAACTCAGTGAATACAGAAGTATTTGAACATATATATACATAATTTTTATTGAAAATGCAAAAATATACAACATTTTTAATATAATACATATTTTACATATATTTAAAAATACATATTATAAATAGAGTTAAATTTATACACAGTACAAATTCTATTTTATCATGGATTATGTAAATTTAAGCAATATATTTATACCATATGTTATTATTAGACCACTAGGCATAGAACGGGAAGATGAAAATTTTGAAAGAAGAGGATGGATAATGCATAGTGAAATACTAGAACAACTTCGTCCCCCACGTCCAGTTCGAGTTGGATTGATACAGCACAGGATTGTATTAAATACATCCGATCCCATTCTGGAGCAACGAGATGCAATGCACAAAAAAATTGAATCATACATCGTACAAGCAGCTTTTTCCGGCGTTAATATCTTGTGTCTTCAAGAGGCATGGAGTATGTAAAATCTGTTATTTTACGAAATCTAATTTTGTTACGTGTTCAATAATAATAATGAAATTATTGCAGCTATGCCATTTGCTTTTTGTACGAGAGAAAAATATCCCTGGTGCGAGTTTGCAGAGGATGCCGAGACTGGACCTACGACTATGTTCCTGTCTAAACTCGCTCAGGAATACGGCATGGTAATAATATCGCCGATTTTGGAGAGAGACTCTTCTGACGGCGACACTCTTTGGAATACCTGTGTGGTGATTAACGTGGATGGTAAAGTCCTCGGGAAACATAGGAAGAATCATATTCCTCGCATCGGAGATTTTAATGAATCCACTTATTACATGGAGGGCAACACGGGACACCCAGTTTTTGATACTCCTTACGCACGCATTGCAATTAATATATGTTACGGACGTCATCATCCATTAAACTGGCTGATGTTTGGTTTAAATGGAGCAGAGGTAAAGTCACACTCCTCTATACGATGTCCCGGATTTGACAAAAAGTAAACACGCGGAAAAAATCGTTATTTCTTACAAAATTCGAAGTTGATTTTCCTCAACGAAAAGATTCATGATATAATGTTTCATTAATCTTCTTTATATTAATTTTCTTTAATGTTTTCAGATTGTCTTTAACCCATCTGCTACTGTTGGAGGGTTATCTGAACACTTGTGGCCAATTGAAGCAAGATGCGCTGCGATAGCGAATAGTTATTACACTTGTGCCATTAATCGCGTGGGAACGGAGATTTTCAAAAATGAATTTACATCTGGCGATGGGAAAAAAGCGCACAATGATTTTGGACATTTCTACGGCTCTAGTTATATTACTGCTCCCGATGGCACACGCACTCCAGGTTTAAGTCGACACAAAGACGGACTGCTCGTTGGAGAATTGGATCTCAATCAATGTCGACAAATGAAAGATATATGGGGATTTAGAGTAAGTACTTTATGCATTTGTCCTGCGTCGCGCAAAGTAATTTATCACGTTACACTATTATGCGTTTGCTAATGGCATGCAAACTTATGATCCAATTATATATGTATTTGTTAACACATATTTATGTAAACTTCCAGATGACGCAAAGACTCGATATGTATGCTAAAGAACTTGCTGAATTCACAAAACGTAAAAATGAAGAAAAATGAAAATATGAGAACTACATTGGTGCTACTTTTTCTATTATAATCAGACACACTGCATTTTTACACATTATCGTTACAATTAATATTTCAGTACATAAATTTATATTTTTCTATAATATAAAAGACTTGTTAATTGTACGATTGTTATAATAAACTATGTATGAAATAGAGTTAAAATATTATATAAATATCTAGAAAAAGATCTCATATTTTAAATAATAAATACTGATATTTGATGTATTGATTACCAATATTGATATTTTTTAAGAAAATCTGCAAAAATATTTAAGTTTATTAATATTAAATATTAATTTAATAAAATACTTATATTTTAATAAATATTTAATAAAATATTTATTAAAGAAACAATGTATACGTTATATAGGATCTTTTTGTAGCTTCAATACTCTAGTTCTATTACTTACTATATCTATATAATTACGTGTATAATTTATGTGTTACTTGAACTCTCTAACGCAGAATTATGTGTTTGTTTGCGATGTAGTAAAGCTTCTTGGTATGCTCTCTTCACAGCCTTTCTGTCCGCAGGTTTACGCGATTCGATCAATTTCGCTTCGTCCACTTCCTGTGATACTCCAAGTTTCTCTAATTTTTCACCGGGCAACCATTGCCTAAAAAATTTGTTATTATTAAATAACATTTTTATCATTCATGTTCACTCAAATTTGCTTTTATAAAATTTCAATAATTTATTTAACGCATAAAGTAATAATTTTTTTCCATTACCTTTCCATGTAATATTAATTATTAATTTTATTATCAAAGCATCCAGATCATACGTAAAATTTTCGACAATAAGCACATTTGATAATTTTTGTCATTTTTTCGCAATTTTTTAACGTTTAATTGGGATACTTTGATAATTTTGCATTAAATTAAGATTCCGTTAAAAACATTCTTATTAAGAACACGCATTGAGTGCATTATTACTTATTATCAAATATTTTGTGTATAATGTATTCCTGCGTTAAGAATTATTACCATGTGCGCTTCGTGTCGAAGAAAAGAACGAGGAAGACCGGCTCTTTGTAATTGTCTGCGAGTGCCAGAACATCATCAGGCGGTGCTGGGATCGGTACTCCTTTATATACGGTACCTCGCGGTGTGTTCGGATCAATGATGAGAGCTGGATACCAAGGATATCCACGACATTTAGCCCATACAAGTTGCAAGGCTTCCAAGCCGCTACTAGCATTCGTTTGTTTACTTTCACTTTCTTTCTTTGTATCGACGACCTCTTGTCGTTGCTTCTCGTCTTCTAGATCAGGAGTGGTGGATCTACTCGTAGGGCAGCTGCTGCAGCTTGATGATTGGCTTTCTGCCTCACCTGCATCACTATCCATTGTTCCACTCCTAGAAATAATATATAAAGAATAAATAAGTGTAAGTATATTGTGCACAACTTCTTATGATATAAATATTTGTATATTATTAGCATATTGATAATCAAGTACAATTAAGAAATAATATTCTTTCGTTTAATCATATTATATTATTTTATTTTATGCAGGTTTGTATTGGTAACAAATTACATTTTTTATTTTTTACTTTGTTGTCATTTTTGATATCAGATAACAGTATAAACTTATTAATATCCAACTTATTTTTCTATAGGTGTTTATAGTAAAAGTGCATGTCATAATTCTTAATTATTTACATACCTATATACTTTAAAACTATCACTTTGTTTCTTTTTGTCATCTTCCGAAGGAAACATTTGGCCGCTTCGAGCATTACGCGCTTTAGCTTTACGCGTGAACAATACCGCCGTTCTCCGATTTACACCACCTCCGCCGACCTCCTTCTCATTAGATTGCGACTCCGCTTCCACGCGACTACGATTAACTCTTTCTCTTTTTCTAGATTTAGAACTGGTCTGTTCGGCTTCGACGATTGGATCGAGTTCAGGATAGTCTTTACGGACCTGCTCTATTAAGGCTCCACCCTGCTCTTTCATTTTCACCCCCGCCCGATAGAACATGGTATCTTTGCGATTATATGCTAGGCAATTGTTCACCATCAGATTAAAGTCAGTCTCAAAAGCTGTAATGGAGTCATATTCCTGTTTTTCTAGTTTCCCCTGTAATAAAAAAATATTAAGTATAATTATTTTTAGCAGACTTTGATTAAACATGATCTAAAATAGTTCTAATTGCCTGCATAGTGGAGAGATCCATAGGATGCGTCACTATTTCAAGATAATCCGGAACTTCTTTGATATTCACCGGTTGCCCAAATACGTCGTTTACATCTTTCGCTTTTATGGCTTCTAATAATGTGTGTAAAACACTCTCCAGTGGTCGCAATTCAAACCATAAGCATTTTTCTTTCCTGTAATGAATTTTTTTCTTAAATTACTAAATTATTAAGTACTTCTTAAATCACTAATTAAATAAATATAATATCTGTATTATACTATAAAGTTCACGAGTACTCACACTTTGATAAATTCTTTCTTTAATTTTTCACGTTTTCGCACTAATTCGCATAGTAAACGTGCACGTTCCAAGTCTTGACGTAAGCATTGCCAATATTTAAGCTGATGGTACAATTCTTCCCGGACTTCGCTGTCGTGTGTCGGTGAGGAGGCTTCTCCGAGTGGAGGTGGTCTGGATTGCGGGTGCGAACTTTGTAATCTCCTAAGAAGCGGAACACCATTTCTGTATTGCCGCTTTAATGTCCAGTAGGCAATGAGACGTTGTATTAATTGACTCCTTTTTGGTATTCCTTCAGCTAAACTAAATAAAAAATAAAACAATAGATATAAATTTAACAATTCATCAAGATACTGTTTTATTATATATGGTGTTTAAGTGTAAAAATGTGCATTTGAAAAATTTGATCTTACTTTATGACTTTAATCTGATAGTGAATTTTTCTATTCTGCATAAATAAAAATGTAACAATTATTACTTAGCAATTTCTCTGATTCTTTCAGGTGGTATGGTAGGAATAGAAATAACAGGCGCTGATGAGCTTTTCTTATTAGCTATCGCTCTCCTTCTCGCATCAACAGGATTCGTGGAAGGCTGATAATCAACAGGTGTATGCGCCTCGCAATAAGCAGTCTTTTGCACCAGCATTGGTTCGCCGTTAGCGGGCTGCACTGTTCTCATGCGCATGCATAAGCCAGCTTGCTGGGCACAAGTCACGTGGAATGCTGCGTAGCAATTGCTCTTGTGACACTGAATGCACGCACCTACTCCTCTGCGTTTGCATACGCAGCACGCGAGTCTCCAACGAGCTTGCGGAATACTTTCTATACTGTCGATGGGTTCCAGAAACACAGTGTTGGCAAATCTTACTTCTGGTATCCATAGAGCGCATACTACGTGCGCCCATGTTGCAGGACGATCAGTCTGTTTGAATGCACCGCCTCTGTTTGGACATAAAACACAATCCACAGCCCTGGATGGACTCTGCAAACACCTTCTACACAACCATTGTCCTTCGGGTATATACGGTACACCGTAGCAATCTTGATGGACAGCGAGGTTGCACATATCACAAAACAAGATTGCATTGCTATTCTGACATTCTCCATCCATGCAGATGCAACAGACAGCATCTTCATCCGCAGCAACACCACCTCCGCCATTGCTTTGTTGCTGAAAATATGACTCTTTTTCCAGTCTGTCCATCAATAATTCAAATATGTCAGGTTCCAATGGGGGTGTTAATCCAGATGCTAGTCTTCTTTCATTGACTATGGAAAGCCAAGCAGTATCTTCCTCATCTAAATCATATTCTACTTCTCCTATAAAAATGATAAAGTAGGTATTATTTTCAAAGCCATAAATAATATTAACAACATAGTTTTATAATATAGATAAACTGTGAAAAGTTGAACTTAATGTTATAATAAAATCTTAACAAGATTTTAATATTATCATATAATATAAATATAAAATTACAAAATATTATTACCATCTAGCTCTTCACCGCTGCGTTCCATAAATCTAATATAAGAATTTGGAAGTGCGTCAGCCTCTCCTAATTGATTTTCATAGCCTTCAATTTCTTTAACTGTAGCAACAGGCAAAGTGCTAAGGACATTCTTGTCTTCTTTCTCTTTTTCCGATGCTGCTGCATTATTCTTCTGTGCTATAGTTTTCTCATCAAACATACTTGTGTCCATAGAAATAATAGGAATGGCATCGGAGATAGCCAATTTAACTGATTTGTTTCCATCTTCTCCTATAGGATTAACCTTCAAAAATGAAAGTATACATCATACTATGAACACAGTTGATAAACACATTTGATTATAACAATTGTGTATAGAATTATAAGTTAAATTATTCAGCAAGTTATATCCAAGCACTGCTATAAAATAAAAATCTACATCATACTATAATGTTATAATTTATATTACTAGAATAGTAAATTAAGCAGTAATTAAATTTAATTCATCTATTTAAAACTTGAAAACTAATTTGGTCTCAAAGCAAACAATGTTCTTTTGTAATTCAACTTCTATAATTAAAAGAAAGTTTATATATCAATTATATATTCTTATATATTCCTATAAAAAGCAAAATAAGTTTATTTAATAATTAAACCAGTATTTATACATACCAAAACAAATTTTGCTGATTCTTGGGTGCTGAGTGTCTCAGTATTCGTAGGACTTGCACTTTCGTTGGATATACCTATTCTACTCCTGCCTTTCTTTTTATTAGATTGCGGCGTATTCATCTTATTTTTACGTATAACACGTATATTTATTATTTATGCCGGTTACTATTCGGCAAATATGAGTTGCTTTGATTAACCTCACGCAGTCACAGCTCACACGCACAAGTACAAGATTCCGACATAGATAGCTATTTCAACAATCTACAGCGAAATCAGCAATAATATCAGAATTTACCATCTTCCTCTTAATCATTAAATTTTTGTCTTTAGAGCACAACTTTCGATTCGGTATGCATGTGTTATTTGAACGAATAATCCAAAATAATCAACGTAGAAATATAACCGCTGCACGCTAGATAACAGATGCAATACCAACTTTAATTCTGATGTCCATGAAAAATATGCGCTAAAGTTAACTAACAACGTGTGCTGAAAACGAATTTTTCTATTGGATATTATGCGTCGGACAATGCACACACTGTGAATCCCTCATAAGTTATGCGATACGTTAACGCTTATTGATTTTCCCATCTATGATTTACTTAATCTATGGCTGTCGCTCGCGACAGCTTCGTGGCCATTCGCCCCCGTCGCTAGTGTTCGCACGGTCAGGGAGTGGAAGGGGGAGTAAAGGAGAGATCTAACTTTACATCAGTCATCAGCAGTATTCGTTGTCGTGTTAGCTTTGGTGGTCGGCTTCCCCGCTGTCGAAAAAGTTCGGTGTGACTGTAGTAGTAATAAGTCACTGTGTAACGATTAATGCCGTAATTATCGTTACATCGTTACCGTCGCAGTCGTTTCGCTATCGCCTCGGTCTTTCTCTTATCTTCTCACACTCCCTCTCATTCCTGTCATTGTCTCTCCCTCTCTCCTTCTCACTCTCCTCTCGTATATCGCGCGTATTGTGAAACAGTGTGAAACGCGAGGCGGGCAGTTCCGCGAAGCGGGATTCATTTGCGAGCGAGGTGACCGAATGTTCCGCTAAGAATTATGTGGAATACTGACGCAGGATTGGGATCGGTCGCGCGTCAAGTCAGCTGACATATTGCGCCCTGCTGCACCGCAACAGCCTTCGGTAAGTGTCGCAATACTCGTGCGCGCAGCTCTCTACCCCGCGCTGAAGCTCTACTCCGATCGCCGCGACTATTTTCGGGTCGGGCGATAGAGCCGTGAGAGACCGGACCCGTCGGACTCGTCGGCTCGCGCGCACGCATACGTGTTCCCGATCAAAGCGCGAGCTCCGTTTCACTCGCGCGTGTCTCGTCTGCGTTACGTGCGCGTTACACCGTTCCGCTCGGGACGTGCCGAGAGCCGCCGCGCCGTGTTCGCGGAACGGACGCGGCGGTACGCGCAGGAACGTCGACGTGTTAAGTGGCCCGTGGTTCGCGACAAGAGAGACGGACAAAGGAACGGCGCAATTTGCGGCTAAGTGCGTATTCAAGGATGGAAGCCATGTCCCACCGTCCGCCACTGTGCGTCGACCGTTCCCCTGTGTTCTTTGCATGCGTGTGTGGCCGAGGAGCCTCTCTTTCTTTCTCGCGTCCCTCCCCCTGCTTCCTTTTTATATCACTCTTTCTCACTCTCTCTTTCTGCGTTTCTCGTTCTCTCTTTCTCTCTCTCTTTCCCCCTTCTTATCGTCGTCTCTCTTTTTTATTGTCGGCCTATCGACGGCAGCGCTCGCATCCGAGATTCGAATGTGCGTACACGAGACGTCATAAACGCCTGCCTATCCGCTAAATAGACACTTCTGTAGAAGAATAGAATTTATCGCATTTAAATGTTTGTGCATTCGACCTGTAAAAGTTTAATATTCCATTCTTTTTCCAACATTCCATTTGTTTGACACGAGATTAATCTCTTATCTAATCCTAGCACTATGTGAGATATAGCGCGCGTCATACATAGCTGTTCGGCGTTGCCTTTTTGTCCGCCGCGAATAATCTTGATTTGCCAATAGTTTAACGCAGTGCGTTCTACCGAAAGAGTATCCGTTTAATAACGGATTTATGACGCATATACTATACGTGCACGCATGTACACTGATCTCTCCCTCCTCCTTTCTGCCCCCCTTTAAAACACCGATCGCCGACGTATTTCCCTTCAGGTGTCCCTTCGGCCATCTCTCTCTTTCTCTCTTCCCATCCCACTTCAGCATTCGTACCACGTTGTTTACAATCTTTCTTCTGGCACGACCAGAGATCGCGGATCGAGCTCGTTTCAGCTGCTCCCGAGAACCCGACGAGAGAGAAAGACGGACCGCGCGCGATCGGTCGAACGGAACTCTCTCGCCGCGTATTTCCCAAGCGTAGCGCGCAACGCGCCTCCCCGCGCCGCCTTATCAAGAATAATTTCTCGTATCTACCGCAGCACTTCCACTCGTACGCGTCGCTTTACCTGACCCGACCGCTCTGACTCGCTCTGACGCCAGCGGTTCGCGCCCACGTCATTGCACCCTGTCGAGCCTGCATTTTCTGAAGTAATTTGCAGAAGGAATTTATACGCGATACAGTAACGAGCGAGCTTTGATGAATCGTTAAATGTGAGGCTTAATATTTAATCACTCTTATCGCTGCCAATTGAATATATATATATGTAAAAGAATGAATGATCTCTCTTTTTTCTTACTGCTGTCAAAAGATTGCATGACAAAATATATGTAATAATCATTCGCTTTCTTTACATAAATATTTCCAAGCTATAAATCTTCCGAAATAATTTTCGCTTAATATATTTAAAACAGGTGTTTTTTGCGTTTATGTACGAAATTCTAGAATTATCATATTTGTTGCGTAAAAAAGGCGGAAGATTAATTTAAGAAAATAGCTCTTTAACATTGAAGACTAGATAATAGTGCATAATTAGTGCATTGAGTTTCAAGGATAGAGTTAAGTAACAAAATCTCTCATGTTCTAACTTATTTTTAATCGAATTTTTTTCTTAAAGAATTTAATCTCTAATTGCCAAATATTTAATGTTGAAAATTAACACTGAAAACGAAGAAATATAATTGAATAATGACATTTCGCAGAGTATCTGTCAGATCAAATTTATCGTGAATTGTGAAATTTGTTAGGATATTTCGTGATGTTGAGACATCCTGCGTGAGTTGCTTATTTTCGATACGCTCGTTCAGAAGGCTCGCCGGACGAGTTTAATGAATTCTCCTCCTTTCCTTATTGCGCGCCTGCTTCCAGACCCATTCGCATCTTTTAATTTACATTGCCGTTAACGTCAATCGCGATGCATTTTTTCACTGTAGTTTACAAGTCTTTTTTATTTTTATGGTATCGTAACGGATCGTCACGTGCGATAACGAATTCCGCCTCCTTTCCACTTTTCGTGTGCTCTCTGTATCTATATCTATAGATATAGATCGATATACTCTACGAGTTATGCCGTTTATGATCCAAGTCTACTCTGTGTATCTTATTTTCTTTCTACATACACCTTGACTTATTCGTATGATCGCTAAATATCAAAGTTTTGTCTACATCCTACGTACATTGTATTAAAAATCCTTTACGGGGTCTCTTCTTTTATTAAAATTCATGCAAAGCTCTTCTTGATTTTCAAGATTTTATTTTATTCTAATTTGTTTTTCGTGCAGTGTACAGATTATGTATTCGACAGTGCTGTTGACGACAGATCATTGATCATCGCGAAGTCGGTGTATATTTTTTCTCAGCGAAGACAACAGTTATCGTCTGTGTTGGTCTTTTCATTCATCATACGTGAATTATATTGACAATAAAATATTTTATTTTTTCGTATTTTTTTATAAGTTTTTAAAGATTTTTTTAGCAAAATAAAAGTCAATTTTTTTCCTTAACGAAAATGTGACATTTACTTCGTTTCTTAGTTTGGCCTCTATTATTTATAACTTGGAGTGCGTGACGGATGATACACCCTGTATACATCTCCGAGTGATAATTAACGTATCTCAGATTGCAATTAGCGCTTCTAAATTTAACATAACTTTTTACCTTGCTTTATTATGCTCATTTTAACGGATTTGGTATTGGAATCGTAATAAACGTGCCTTTGACACGCTCCTTCTTTTCTCTCTCATTCCGCATGCCAATCCTTTCTCCCAACTCTTAAGCCTGGACTACAACAGAAGTTGGAGTAGATGGATAGAAGTAGGAGATCATATTCAAGTATTGTGTTCTGTCATCTTGTGTTTTGTCACGTGTAGTTGTAAAGATTACAATTCGAATTCGAAAAGAAAAGACATTGTTTACGGTACTATTTGTTTTCGTGCGGTTGTAACCAAATGTATGTGTCATTGTTATAATACGTAATGAACTACGCGAGGTAATTCAAAGATGAAAAATTGAAAAGTTTAAAAATGAGACGTATATGATAAGGCATTAATTAACATCGTACATTTTTTTCTTATTTTTTAAAATTGGTCGAAGATCTGCAGAAATTTGTAATCACGCGCTTATTACTTACACTTGTGTATCAATCGAGGTTCACGATTATACGCACAGTGCGTCGAAAGAATCGACGACGTAAATTCCTCGCGCTGTAAATGTTCGGTTCTTCAATTGATCGTGTTGATTGATACAAGCATGCTACAGAGTATATAGGGCGTTGTGAAATTATCAGTACGTATAGCGCTAATAATACCTGTCGGAATAAGTGAATTAACAAACTGTTGGTTTTAACATTCGCTTTAATTTCGATTCAACTGACTTGCGCCTGTTCTTAGGATCGGAATTAGAGGCAAAAACTGAGTTAAAACACGGTGTAGTTTAATGTAAACGACGCTGGCAGAACTAGCTGTTAACAATATAAGCGTAAAAACCAATTGGTTCTGAAGTGCGGAGAGTGCACAGTAAACGGTTTATCAATACATATTAGGAATAACTACCCTCATGACCTATTTCCACTATAAAGCGTGTCATATTACGAAAGATGCACACCGCTGCACAATGCGAGCCATTACTTGACGCTTTTACAAACCCGTGAAGATTTCTTCCGAGAAAAAAAAGTAATACGGAAATGGAAGTAATTCTGAATAATCTGTAGTGGAGGTGGCACGGCCAATTTAATAAGATTCTTATCGGAGCAGTTTGATACGATCTTTAAGTGCCCTTTGAAAAAATTAAGACAATTTGAGGCAAATAATTCCGAAAATCATAAGTCGACTTGATGCGCAATATAAACATTTACTGCGCTATTCATTGAGAAAAGTGAGCTGCTGGTTTAAGCCACTGTTTCTCTCAAATAAGAAGTCCTGCCACGATTTATTTCTCAACTTGTAGGTTGGGCCGTTATTGCACCGAGTGTCTCTCATTTTATATCGCATTTTTATATATCTCATTGTGTCTCGCGGCTTTTACGCGTAGCGACGGCTTACGCACGCATACACGGCA